CACTAGAGATGGGCTTCACACAGTGTACCCATGTGGGGAATCGAACCCGGGTCTTCATCGTTACGAGCGAACGTTTTCACTATCAGGCTACCCCCCCCGCCCTCTATTTCTTGAGTATATTTTCCCAAATTCAGAATGTAACAACCAGTATTTTGCCAACAAATAAAGATCGATTTTCTGTCTGTGATAGGCTTGTTTTAGTAATTGATTCCGTGCAATGGTAAATGTTAGTATACGGGAAACAAACATTGAAGGTATTTCTGTGTTGGATCTGCTTTGTGAGACAGACTTTCAGCAATTTCATTTTGTTTCTGATTGTGTTTTTTGAGAGATGGACCAGGAGTACACTCCTTTCGTTTTAGGTTACGTTTTTTGAGACAAGACAGGAACAGAATCCATCAGTTTTAGTTAGGTTTGGTGGAACAAGTCTCAAATAGATTCTTGTACTTTTAGGTGTCTTTTACACAAATACGGGTATTTGGAAACAGTTATGATTCTTAACATTGACCTGAGTTCCCCTGCCGGCAGCCCTCTGCCTTATCTGTGTGTTTATTAAAGTTGTATCTGGTTGCTTTTGATTGGCATTTTAGTTGTTCATTAATGATTGCAGAAGCAAGCCCTTTTTAATTGATGACAACTTCTTTATTATATATGGTGCAACGTTTCGGTTTAGATTCTTATACCGTTGTCAAGCTTGTCATATTCCGGTATAAGAATCTACAGCGAAACGTAGCATCAAATGCAATAAAGAAATTGTCATCCATTAAGTTTCTTGCGGTGTTTTTTTTTGTTGATCCGCAGTAGATTTCTTGTGTAACGTTTATTACGAGAGGTGCGACGTGTCGGGTTTTTGTGTGTGTCACTTTCATAAAGATTGATCCAAAATTGATTTCGTTGATGACATTTTCTGTGTTTTGTATCACTCATCCGAAAGACTTTCTGAGGTGAACGAAATGAAATTAAGATATATCCATGCTGCTGTTAAATGAGATTTAAACCAACACAATCTCCCGAGTTGAAGAGAAAGTATCAATTGTACCACCAATGATCTGAAAACAAAAATATAAAAACAGAGTATATGTGTAAGAAATTACACCCCCCCCCACACACACACCAACAAAATAACCACCACCCCAAAAAGAAAAGCAAAAGCCAAAGCAAAAAAGAAATAAAAAATATAACAACCCACCCCCCCGAAAACAACAAGAAACAAAAAAAGAACACCCAAAAAACCCAAAACAACAACAACACAAAACAATCAAATACACAAATATGAATACCTTATGTATTCATGCTACGAATATCATTTTCACTGATAAACCCAGGATCCCGCCTTCACCTGTAAAGTAACAAGCGCATAGACCAAGTTTCAATGACAAGAAAAGCATTCCTAATTCGCATGTGCATCTACTTTTCAGTCGTGTATATTTACACTCATACCTTACAAGAAGCTACAAGCGTACTGCAATAAATCACCTATCTTGGTTAAAAGCCATCTGATTGTTAGGCATTGAAAGGAGAAGACTAATAGCGGAATGTTCTAAGGTCTCGGAAGCTTACTTGGACCAAGAAATGAGACAGTGATTGATCTAACGTGGGTTTAGCATTACTTCAGTTCTACAGTGTCAGTGAGTACACACGCTGCAGTTGTTACACAAGGCACGGACGTCAGTGATCGTCTCGTAACCTTGTAAAACCTCACGATGACAGACGGTCAGAGAGACAATCACAGTTCATGGGGTTTATCCGATCATGGAACATACAGACAGGTCCCTGTCCCGGAAAACAAAACATGTTCCTAATACAAAATATTTACCTCTACAAAACTATATACAGATTAAATTACAAATGTCTATAATGTAATGTTTGTTGTTATATATTATTATAAAGGAACTGATGATGTGAATGGAGCTATCGTTGAGATGTGCATGCACAATACGGTTGTTGCATCTGAAGGAAGCATATAATCACAATAACGTGTCAAGTCAGGCACGTGCAAACAGCAATTGCTGTTGTTGCTGTTTTACGCTGCACTCATCAATATTCCAGCTATATGACGCGGTAGTCTGAACCAGACAATCCAGTGGTTCACATCATGAGCATCGATCTACAATAGCTTGTAAACTAAGTGGGCGGTGGGTAGCCTAATGGTTAAAGCGTCGGCTCGTCACGCTGACGACCCGGGTTCGAATCCCCACATGGGCACAATGTGTGTCCCCGCCGTGATATTTCTGGAATATTGCTAAAAGCGGCGTAAAACCCAACTCACTCACTCACTGTAAACTAAGTCTGCGAGCATATCGTCTAAACACCTTTAGTCGCCTCTTAAGACAGACATGGGTCGCTGGGGATCAAACTGACGCAGGGTTTCACGGATGCCAAACAGATGTGTTCGGCGCTATCTCGGAACTGTGCTGATGAGGTCAGGGTGTCATAAAATGAGGATAAATTACAAGGAAACTAAGTAAAGGTTAACAGTTGTATTATTGTCAGTTGGCAGTATCTGAATACAAGCTATATAATGGATGAATCCCCAATGAACACTGACCAGTATCGCTGGTTAACTGAGCGGGTGCCACTAGTGAAGCTGTCCAGCTAAGCAAAGGATAACCGCTATTACAACGACAAGACAATCGACAAGATGCATAGACATCCAATTTAGTCGGCCGTGACCAGTAATACCTAGCAGTTAATTAAATCGACACTCAAAAGAGCGAGTAAAACCCCAATATTTAAGGAGAAATCAGCACTAAGCCTGCCCCTAAAAATATTCCTCCTGGGCAATTAAGATCAGACGAACCCACCTAGATATAAGCCCTGTCTTACAGGATAAAGTCACTTAGACGGAGCACAAAAACTTGAACATACGGGAGCTCGCCCAAATGAGTCACATGACTTACGGCCAAAATAAGATACATGACCTAAACTAGCACTTCCGGAAAAAACGTTATCCACGGATTACAAGAAATAAGGAGAATGATATATAACAACCTACCCAATAAGTTTAGCTCGGTAACACCAGACGTAAGTCAGTACGAGGACACTGAATATTTACAAGCGATACTAAGAGTTGACCTGACCTCAAAGTAACACTGTGACTCTTTAGGGCCTAGCGATGCCTGGTGATGATAACGCTCGAAAGAGACCCGATTCTTACACCAGACAGGCGGACGTCTTGAGAAGACATTTTCCGTAAGCTAGCAGGGACCAATAAACAAACGACCCAGGGAATAACGAGATTTTTATTTTAAAAAACCCAAGTTAAACAGGAGTAGGAAACTAATTACATGTATATGCTGAACCAATAAGGGAGATCAAACTAAAGAGCTGAACATAAACTATCCAAACGCTCCGCAAAGAAAATAATAAGGAAAACAGGAGAAGAAAACTAATTACATACTCAACGAATAGGGGAAACTGTAAGGGCCAAACTGAAGTGCTGATCATGAATTCCATATAAAATAAAATTACAGCCAGATATGTTCTATTCGTAATAAACCATATCGTGCAAGAGCAAGATAAACCCGTTACTGCATAAGAATCAAAACTACTACAACAGCCTCAAAATATTAATTAAAATCTATTTGATTGAATAAATTCTGTTAATATTGTTCATGCGAATGTTAAATATTTGATGCTGATAACACATAGACACATTAATTTACGAAACTGACTTTTTTCAGCGATTCAAACACATGTGATCAAGAAATTCATGACCCCCGCTGTATTTCTCCACTTGTTTGATAAAGAACAACTATTTGTTTACCCAGTTAGGACATAGGATATAGATATCACAAATACGATTGTCAAGCAATGACTCCAACTTTACTACAGTCTTTCTATTTACGTTAACATCTTCAACATCTGTGGTACTATAGATCAGAAATGTCCTTCCTCCGAAGATTGAAAAGAACCTTACATTACCCTTCTTCAGGATTACAACAACGAAGGTCATAGTAATTCGAAAACGATCCACCCGTGAAGGTCCGGGTTAGAATATTGATCTTCAGTAACCCATGCTTGTCGTACGAGGCAACTAACAGGATCGGATGGTCAGGCTCGGTGACTTGTTTGACATATGTCATCGGTTCCCAATTGCGTAGATCGATGCTCATGCTGTTGATCACTGGGTTGACTGGTCCAGACTCAATTATTTACAGACCGCCGCCATATAGCTGGAATATGCGTTCAAGGGGTTTTATGGTAGGCATGTGGAAGACGTTCCCAATTTGGTGCTTCAGCAACAAAAGAGATGTCCTATGCAATTCCACATTTGGACTTTTATCATGTTTCCATGTTTGTTGAGGTATACACTTGATATGCCTTAACATGTGACGAGCATTTGCTATTATACCTATTTGAGAGTAACTAATGAACCCCATTGTGACACGTTTCAATTGTACAGTGGAATGTTTTTTAATTCTGAAATATGAAGTGAAACTGGCTATCACTGTCTTTTTGTCGTCCTATTTGTACATGTATCTTCACAAAAAAGTAAACAGAAATACGATTTACGCTCATGTCATTGTAGGTAACATTGTGTTAAAATATTGAATGGATAATTTAATGTGATTGGAGATATGTAATATATTCGTATGGAACGATCATATCTTTTCATCATGTGACTGGTTGGTTATGACGTAACTTTGTAAATTTGAATGTTTTTAAAATACTAAATTGATAACTTGATGAATTCGATGTTGTTGAAGATATGTGATACCTTTCTATGAAACAATATAATATGTTTTCATCATATGACTGGTTGGTTATGACATAACATTGTGAATTTTAATGCTTTAAAAAATACCGAATCGATAACTTCATGAATTCAATGTTGTTGAATATATGTAATATATGTGTCATCATAACACACCACTTACGCAATGTCCAAGAGACCCTACGAGTTTTCTCTTGAAGCAATGTGTACGCTCGTATATGTTTCGATATATCAGAGTTTGTTATAGTGTAATGTCTCAGGAATCACTGTTTGTGTGTTGCAGGGTTTTCCATGAAGCAATGGCGTACGACGATGTGTGGCATCTCTTGGGACTTGATGACAAGAATGTAACTCGCACCGACATTTCTCTATGGCTATCCAATCAGTCCAATGGGAGCTCTTTCAAGTCCCAATCCTTCAAACGTGACCAGACAGTAGAAAACATCATCATCGTCATCGCATACAGCATCTTAAGTCTCATCTCCTTCTTTGGAAACTCTCTGGTGTGTTATGTGATTCTGAAGAACAAGCGACTTCACACAGCGACCAACTTCTTCATTGCCAACTTAGCGGTCTCGGACCTTCTTATTACATGCATTAATGTTCCATTCAATATCCTCAGACACATCTTGGATGAATGGCCGTTGGGGGATTTTCTGTGTCACCTTGTGAACTTTTCGTTAATGACGTCTGTGTATGTGTCAACCTACACTCTGACTGCGATCGCCATTGACAGGCATCGAGTCATTCTGACTCCTCTAACAATTCGCATGTCCAAGCAACTGGCAATAACGGTTCTGGTGTTCATATGGGTATTGGCCATCTGCCTCTCCTTACCATATGGCATCTACACAAGCGTACAGGAGGTCAATCTTTTCACGTCAAAGCTCCGACGCTGTCGATCATCATTTCCGGATACCCTGGATTCATTTGAACAGTACCTGACTGTTGTCACCATCATCATGCAATACTGCATCCCTCTGGCCTTCATCGCCTTTGCGTACGGACGTATAGTACGTAAACTATGGGCAAGAACCCATGTCGGCGCTGTGACGGAAAATCAGCACCAATCCCAGCAACGTGCGAAAAGAAGGAGCATTAAGCTTTTGATCGCAGTTGTGATTGTGTTTGCCTTGTGTTGGCTGCCACTTATTCTGTACCACCTTCTGACTGACTTTCATCCCAATGCTGAAGTATTCCACCATGACAGTAGAGCCTTCTTCATCTGCCACTGGATCGCCATCAGCAGCACTTGTTATAACCCCTTTGTCTACTGTTGGCTGAACGAGAACTTCAGAGAGGAAGTGAAAGCAAGATTTCGTTGGTGTGGATACCGAGCCTTTAAAATTTACCCAGGGTGCTCCGAAGTAGATGGTGGGCTGTTGCGGAATGACCGTGGAGATCGAAAACGAGGAAGAGGCTTGCCGAGCATCACACGCTCAAGCATTGCATGCTCAAGTAGATCGACCAGTGTTAAAAGGGATACGTCTATATCGCCTGATGAAATTGAAAACTTTTGCCCCTTCAAATTAAACGGGTCTCCACCACGAATCGACGAGAAGGATACAATTAAGGAGGAGACGACAGAACTTATTCCCAAATGTGACATATCTAACGGAAAGGTCGAATTGCATTTGAAGTAATGGAAATCCCAGTACCACAGGTAATGGAGAAACATTAACTGTCAACAACGATATTTCTGGACATTGCTACCATGCTAGCAGGAGATATTAACATTGTCAGGTTGCAGTAAACTTGGAGTCATCCGTTTGATGGGGAAGTAAAAACTGAAAAAACAAGCAACGTCAATTTTTGGAGAAACTACGGATGAACGTCTCAGCATCTAAATTGTTGAATATATCTGTCGAAACTGCATGAAAACGGTTTGAGGAATCGGTGTTGATTCATAGATTTGCCGTGTCCTTCAAAGCCTCTGCACCAGCATGACTGACCGACACATTGGATGAAACTGGAATGACAAAGCCAATAACAGTTTGTTTGTTTTGCTTCTAACATGTTTCGGTGTTTATAACGTAATTGCCACTGGTTTAATGATTGTTAAAGGATTTTGCCATGGCAAGGGGAAAATACCAGTCCTTAATCGTGTGTACATAGATCATCTGGTGTATGATGTCATCACACCTTGTTTTTCCTGCACTTGAGATTCTAGAATGAGGAAATTCGTCGTGATGCTGTGTGGAGTTAATCATGAATACTCCCGTGAGGTGAAGCCATATACCACAATGGCCATTTGTCGAACAGAAATGAGAGGCAGGCTGGTCAAGTTGTTTAAGGAGCCGTGGTTTCATTTACAATTGAATTGCTACTTCTTATTTTTCCGTTAAGGTCACACGGAGTACAAGACTAGAAAAGTTGCGCAATGACAATAATTTAAATTTCTATTTTCAGTATACAATACATTTGTCGCTGATGAAACGTACTATATACAAATAAAAAAGAGCGTATTTTGAGTTCAAAATATAGTAACTCATTACAAAAACAACTACAAATTTGGTGATCAAAACCCTATTATTGTAAACATCCTTGATTATCCTCATATGTTACATGGGTATCAGTGTTGTCATTCTAGAGCAGTAGCGACTTCAACTACTAAATGCATATTGACAAATAAGTATCGGGTGGTTACAACCAGTGGCTAGTTGTCTCGAGACGTTATTTACGCTCAAGTTAGCAAACAGGTATTTGACAGGGTAAGACTTCAGGGTTATTCAGAGGCTGTTGTGATATAGTTGGATACTCTTTGCATGATATAATGCTATGAAGCAAGGGAACATATGGAAGCTGAATCAAATACCCATTTACATTGGATAAATATATATGATAAATACGTACATGGTCCTAAAGTAAATATAAATGTGTTTCATCAAAAATGCATACATATACAAGTTGGATTGACTTGAAGCATGCTACCGCTGCAAATTCGAAGCACCCTGTACTTTCTAAACTCGTATTCAACAATTTCTTGATGCATCAATAAATTCTAAATAGAGACCATCGCATCAACATATATACGCATATTTAACAATTTCTTGATAACAACATTACATTCCAAACAAACACCATTGCACTAACATTTAAACTCATATTCAACCATTTTTGATGCGTCATTGAATTCCAAACAAACACCATTGCACTAACATTTAAACTCATATTCAACCATGTTTGATGCGTCATTGAAATCCGAACAAACACCATTGCACCAGCATTTAAACTCATTTTCAACCATTTTTGATGCGTCATTGAATTCCAAACAAACACCATTGCACTAACATTTAAACTCATATTCAACCATTTTTGATGCGTCATTGAATTCCAAACAAACACCATTGCACTAACATTTAAACTCATTTTCAACCATTTTTGATGCGTCATTGAATTCCAAACAAACACCATTGCACTAACATTTAAACTCATATTCAACCATTTCTTGATGAAAAAGAGAACACTGCATCAACATTTAAACTCATTTTCAACAATTTTGTGATGTATCATTGAATTCCAAATAGACACAGTCTCACCAGGTGTGGCGAAGTCGGATTTTTGTTTGTCGTCCTTAATGAGCAATAGAGGAAGTTTGACCACTCTTACAGTGGCCGTTAGAGAGTGTAAGTGATACCTTATTATATTTGTTTAGTTGTGAAACGTTTACACAAACTGTGCCTTTGGTGTTGTACAACATGACTGTATTGACATGTACATTTGCTTGTATTGCTCGATTGTGCCAGATCCAAGCACGGGAGGTACCTTTAACTTCATATATGTTAATACATCTTGTTTTTGCATAACGTTTTTCTAGCTTTCCCATGTTAATATCGATTTGTCAGCATCTTACCCGTGTTTATTGGTATATTCAGAATAATATGTGGTGTATCCACTCCATATTATACGCGGGGAGGTGGGGTAGCCTAATGGTTAAAGCGTCCGCTCGTCGCACTGAAGACCCGGGTTCGATTCCCCACATGAGTACAATGTGTGAAGCCAATTTATGGTGTCCCCCGCCGTGATATTGCTGGAATATTGCTAAAAGCGGCGTAAAACCATACTCACTCACTCACTCACCATATTATACGCCTTTATAACACTGGAATGTTAGACAAACCCATATTACACCGAACTTGTGTAAACTACTTTGATTCGTTCGTGTAGGAGCAAGTATTTGTTCACATCATACACAGTATTCAATGAAAGGATAACATTTTCACAAAGCTGAAAATCATGATGTCAGCTTTTTAAGCAATATTCCCGTTTTATTACGATCCTCAACACAAAGAACAGGTTCCCTGCAAGAAGAATCTAACACTGGTCGTCAGTGTGTGAATTATACGTGAATTTATAGTCATGTGACAGAAGTGTGTACCCTAAAAGGCCCACCCCGATCAATAGCACAAGCATCTGTTATTTGCATCTGCAAATTAGACACACATAAAACTACGTGTATTGTATCTCTTGAAGATGACAATATGGGTTTTGTCATGAAATTCAGTTTCAAGTGTTACAACCTTACATGTAAGTCAAAAATATGTTTCACATATATCCATCATACAATCCCGAACTCAATTGCAATTATACCATGGACAATACGAAACCTCAATTTCGTCTCATTTATTACTTGTATTCTCATTTGGCAAATTCAAGTATATGGATAATAGGCATACAACCGAGTCGCTTCCACAGAGCTGGAAGATCACCCGCAAAACCGCTTCATTTGTTGAGTCAATATTTAGGTCTATGCATTATGAGTCAAGGTGGCAATAACAGCTCTACCAGACAATATATGACTAATAAATAGTTTCCAATTATGGATGCAATACTACAACAGTTCCATACATTGTCTAGTCCATTTAACAGCGCTTGTGATGTAATCAAGATTCTTTTTCTAAGAAGAATTCCAAGAGAGTCATATGACTCTTTGCTCGTTGGAGCAGGGAAAGAAGAAACAGGGACTGAGGGTTTTAAAACGTATGGTGGACATGTTCAAATTTAAAATCAGCGACCAAAATGATGCCCGATGTAATTGCCTTTCTCAGCTCGTGCAGTATGATCCGTGTTTTTGTAGGTGGACATGCCTCAGCATGCTTTCTTGACCTTTCAGCGAACAGCACAAATTGATAGCCCTTAGCAGAGATTTCACATGATTGGAAATGTGTTTGTCGTTTTTGTTTCAATTTTAGTGACAATAGTGCACTTTACAGATTTTAACAACAGCATGGCAGTCGTCTAAAGAGACTTAAGTTGCTGTATATATAGTCAGGTCATGATCTGCTGGTCGTTGGTTCGAATTCATATTGACCTAGGTTAATATGAGTCTTAACAGGCATATTACCACTTAGCCTTGCAGTTGACACGTGTGTTTCTCAAACAGTTGAAACAGACACTTTGGACGGTTCTCCTAAACTGATCTGTCACATCGTGATCTGAATAAAAGGCCGTTTACAGCGACTTGACGCAAAATGCTAAATTAGGCACGTTTAGTGGATTTTTCAAAAGCTAGTATTATACTTTCTCATTGTAGCACTCGGTTCACCGTAATTATCTTTCACAGTGCCAGGCACAAAGGGGTAATTTAGAGGTGTACATGTATGTTTATGGTGAAGCCTTTGGAAAAAGCACGCACAACTGAAACCTTTTGTTATATGTCAGGCGTCTGCCCATGTATTATAAACTTCATCACTTATTCGGTAGATGTTTGACCCGTCAACCATGTCATGAGTCGGCTTACATTTGTTAGACTGTGAATTGCTGCCGAATTGTTTCGTTCTGTGAATAAATTACGTTCTGGACATTCTCCATTTTGGAAGTTTGTTAAAACGCGAACTGTATTGAATTACTTCCTGAATATCTCTCGACACGAGGTTTTGTATTCTATAATGATATCGCGAACTGGGGCAAGAGACGAACCATAACCAATACGATAACTGAGGCAATATTGGATTTATTGTTGTTGTTAATTTGATCTTAGTGTGTTTATCGACAACATCGCTTCATATACCCGATAGGTAGACTTACACTATATCGTTAGAGAGCCGCCATGATCGACAGGTCAACCTGACTTCCAACAATGCAAGCAGGTTTCTTAATTAATGTCGAGACTGAAGATGTAATGTTATTAAGAATCGACAGGCCGTTCCCTAATTTCATTACCCATTACTTCCACAGTGCTGCACCCCAGTTAACACGTGGTCTGACAAATGTACCAGGGCCAATCAAGGGTTCCGGTTCCTCGGATATTTTTACTGACGTTAAACGTTAACGGCACCACAAATCGGAAATACGATTGTACATTCCATAGCACATAACCGAAGGGGTAATGGTTCAGGTTTTATCCATTCCCAATTCATCTGCAACCCTCTCACAGTATTGTTTCATGTCACACAAATGCCATTCATTATTTTATTTGAATAACAAACTACTGTGAAAATTTACACATGTTCAATATGTCTCTGTCTCATAATTGCAAAATGTCTTCATGACCCTTCTAAAAATGTGTAATTTGTTCATTATTCGGATCAAATTTGTGAATTTTGTGTATGTCAAAATTGATCGGTGAAATAATCCAGAAAGCGACAGTAATCTCCATTGACCTTACGTACCTGACCTTCTCTAAACTGTTCCTGTTGGGAACCATTGTGGTACCGTATATCCCCATGGTTCCAAGTGTGGCGGGATACTTTAGTTGATGGTAATTCATACCCAATAGTTATGTCCTTGTTGTTGACTGACAATTTGTTCTTTCAAATGTTCTCACATGCGTTGAATCGAATCTGTGATAATCTAGTTGTACTGTTAAACGATGATAGATTTTATTTAGTCTAAATACATTCATTATTGTTGTGTAAGTTCTCGTCACGATATGGCTGAAATATTGCCGATGTAATGTTAAATTTGAACACACTCACTCGAAATTGTTAATGATACCTCGAATATTCGTTACCATGTCCCTCCTTCTGCAGGACAGGTCAACAACTGAGCCACCGGGTAATCAATGACTTGTTAAATGCGCACACATGCTATTATTTTAATATCGTGAGCTTGGTGTTAGCGAATAATTTTCTCATCATCAATGATCTCATTCGAGCATAAATTGTATACGTAACTGTGTGTTATCCGTTTTGCGACGCATTGGTTTTTTGTGCATGAATAAAGCCTTAAATGTTGCAATGTCGTCATTTGTTACTGGAGAAGCATCTTCGGTGCTCGACCTCAACAATATTTCAAAAGATGGGTTACCTTTTGTGTTAACGTATCTTACCATACTCATCAATATTCATCTGTTCGCCCCGCGGGGATCCAGAGACAAACTAGATGCCGAGCATCCTATGTTTGTCGAAACTGACGGTTAGTCAGGCCCCGTGATTGGCTTATTTGGGTGATATCGGGCATCGGCGGTGTGGATAGCTGCTCATAATATCGATCACTGGATTGCATGGTTCACTCGTGATTCTAGTTGGCAAATTGGTAAGTGCAGAAATATAGAACTAAGCACCTCATTAGGTACGGTGGTTCTGTTTTACATGAGCCGCGCTTCATCTAGTAAAATAGAAATAGTACCGTTTGTTGTGAATGTGAGTGAGTGAGTTTAGTTTTTACGCCTCTCTTAGCAATATCATAGCAATATCACGGAGGGGAACATCAGAAATGGGCTTCAAACATTGTATCCACGTGGGGAGTCGAACCCGTGTCTTCGGTGTGACGAGCGAACGTTTTAACCACTAGGCTACCCAACCGCCTTTTGCGAATGTGAATCTCTCATGGCCGCCTCATACCGAATGACGTACACATATGCCCTGAATACAGATGGCCTTTTAGAAAGTGTTGATTATTACACTTTCTCAGTAAAGTGCAGATTCTAGAACAGTTTCGGGTTGAGTCCAATCGAGGATTCGAACATATGTCCTGTCGGACGCTTGAACGCAAGGGCATAAAACAAGGAATCGACTCGGAATCAGTATAGTATGTCTGGGAGGGGTGTAGTGTAAGTGAATGAGGATATGTTTACGCTCCTGTTAGGTTAGCAACATTGCAGCCGTATCATGACGGCGGGCCCTAGGAGGTTAGGGTATAAATAATGCTTATGGAGATGGTTTTGTCACTTATATCTCCATTATCTCAATCTCAACCAGTAAACCGGCATACGTTCGAACTACTGCGAAACAAGTTCGTCCTGAATATGTGACGATACAATTGAAAAATTGACAATCAAGAATGTACCGTTGGGTTCGTAAACAGTCAGCATAAACGTATTGATGGTAGCAGTTCCCTAAGTAGTTAATTTTGTGCAGATGTTTCCTGAATGTGATAGATACCGTCAAACCCGGATGTGTTGAAAAATACTTCGAATTATCCCAAGTTCGACACAACCTTGAAATGATGACTTATTCAGAAATACAGAAGGATCAGATCTTTACTTCGACACAACCTTAAAATGACGACTTATTCAGGAATACAGAAGGATCAGACTTATACTTCGACACAACCTTAAAATGACGACTAATTCAGGAATACAGAAGGATCAGACTTATACTACGACACAACCTTAAAATGACGACTAATTCAGGAATACAGAAGGATCAGGCTTATACTACGACACAACCTTAAAATGACGACTAATTCAGGAATACAGAAGGATCAGACTTATACTTCGACACAACCTTAAAATGACGACTAACTCAGGAATACAGAAGGATCAGACGTTTACTTCGACACAACGGTAGTTCGACAAAACAGGTTTTGACTATATACTAGTAATCAATCTCAACTATTATTCTATCTTCATTATTCATTCAACAAATTTCAACAGCTTCAACGATAATAATGCACGAATACATAACAATTCAAATAGATATCCAATATTTCAAT